AGTTGGCATGCCAAGAGTCGAGGGTCTATGTGGTCCTTCGGGACATATATGTATTCTTTGGAACATGTGTGAAGTCTGGTGAGACACATACTTGATCCTTGGCATATGTATATGATTCTTAAGGAATGATATGTGGTCCTTCGGGACATATATGTATTCTTTGGAACATGTGTGAAGTCTGGTGAGACACATACTTGATCCTTGGCATATGTATATGATTCTTAAGGAATGATATGTGGTCCTTATGGACATTATTATATGGCACTACGGTGCAATTCTACGCTGCACTGCGGTGCAATTCTACGTGGCACTTCGGTGCATTTATATGAGCTGTGGTGACAACATTAGTGCACAACCTCCATAAACTCACATATCTATAGTTCTCACATATGTACATGGGCTAATCAAGAGATATAAACAAATATATGTTAGTGGTATGATAAATGTTATAGAAATGATATGATGTTGTGTGTGTATAGTGTTTGATTGAAAAGGTTAAGCATAAAAGTAGGTGATTACATGATAAACTGTTAATGATGAGTTATGTGTATGTATGTATTTACTGTAATTAATCTGATATGATTTTATATGATACGAAGAAAGCATGTAATTTGGTATAACATGATAGAACAGAACATGCATGTATTGATATATGTTATAAAGTGCATTATAAGTTTTTTTATTCCTCACTAAGTCTTCGACTTAGCATGTAATTGTTTCACACGTAGGGTACAGAAGCAAGAAGAGAAGAGAAGAAGAGTAAGACAGGTCAGCACCTCCCTTACAAAATTTCAGATCAGAAAATAGAGGATTTAAATGTTTTTGGTTATTTTGAGTATAGTTGGCATGTACTAATTGGTTGAATTAAATATGCTCTGATTGATTTTGGTTATTGTGGTCAGTTTATGTAACTAAACCTCTTTTACTTTAATGAAATGTTTTAAAAATTCTTTGAATTTTATCAAGAGTCAAAGTTTGAAAAGTCAATGTGACACCTCAGACTCGTATCCGGGTCGGGTACGGGTTGGGGTGTTACACCGCATCCAGGGAAGCAGGCTAGGAAATATTCAACAAAGACTCCAAAGTCTAGCGGTCTAGGATCTCACAAGAAGGCAAAACATGGTGGCAAATGAGGTTGGGTTGACATGCTCTAATTTACATGTCTAATTTTGAGGGAGTGAGGCATCTCTTGTCTCGTGTTTTTTTATAGAAGATGGCTAGTCAATGGGAGATTTAAGGTTTAAACAAACTTTTGCGGTTGTGTTTCCCTTTAATGATTTTAAGAACATTATGTTTTATGGTGTACTGTTTGCCTCAATTTTTGTCTGGTTTTATATAGGAGTTCTTCGAGATTAAGGTTTATGTTTTTATTCAAGGGGAATTTTGAACTTAGTTGAAGTTTAGCTTATTTATGTGTACCCCTTCAAAATATTATTCAATGTTATTCAAACTATATAGATTGAACATGGTTTAATATTAGTTCTATAAAAAAAAAAGACATTGATAGCAAAGATGTTAGTACTGAAAATGGAGTTACTCCTGTGAATCAAAGCGAACCATGGACTATTTTGGCCCATAAGATGCCGCAAAAAGGGTAGATAACATATAATCCTAGAACTATGAGACGAACACCTCCTAAGGAGAATACAAAGTTTGTTAAGATTCTGTCTTGGAATATCAATGGGCTTACAGCATTGCTGAAACTAGAAGGATTTTATGTATTTGTGGTTTAAACTTCTGGGTAAACTCTGTTTTTTTCCATTTCAGTCTTCTATATGATAAATAAGATAAGATACGTCAACCTATGCTTGTTACCCCCGTTGTTAAGGGAACTAACCCTAATCTTCTAAGAAAAATGAAACTTGACATTAATGAAAAGAGACAAGCAATGGACATGTTATAGTTTACAACCCCCTCTTTAAGACTATTCAAATATCCTTGCTTTTACTTTACAGTTTACAACCCCTCTTTAAGACTATTCAATCTTCCATTAAAGCTCAAATATTGCACATTAACCAAAGACTTGGTCCCAATTCTACAGGGAAAAGCAAGGAGAAAATTAGATTTTGGGGGGGGGAATAGAGTTGATGAACCCGACAAAGCTTCCACTGGTTTCCTTCCTTCTATGCAACCTATGTATACAACAAAATTATATATTGATCATTCAACAAACATTTGTAATGATATAATAATAATCATCATCTTTTTTTTTTCACTCCTTCAATCTCTCTTCTGATATTTCTGCAGGCAAATGTTTCCAACTCAGACTAAAAACTCATCACTCTCTTGACTTATACAAGGTTACCTTTATCTAAGCCTTGTGTTCTACTGCAGCTTCCTGTAATTAAAGTTTGGCTTGAACTGTATAATGTTTTAGTGTTTTTATAAGCTATATTATTGATATATTGTCGAATGATCTATATTTAACTATTTTTTAAAAAAAATTACTAGCTACTAGTGATTCTCTTCAGTCTCTTCAATTTCAAAATCTAAATGAGAATTGTTGCAACAAATTCTGACAGAATGGATCCAAGCAAAATATCAACTATAACTATATTTTCAATCAAAAATGGGTTCGATCAAACAGTACAAGATTATAAAAAAATGGTAGAATGGATCCAAGCAAAACAACAACTATACTAGATTAAGATAAACCCTAACCTGAAAGCATTTTTTTGAAAAAATGGGTTTGACCAAACAATACTAGATTAAGATAAACCCTTACCCGAAACCATTTTTCTGGAAAATTTAAACAAGTCAAAAATTGTAAAGAAAGGGAGAGGAGAAGAAATCTTACCAGGAGAACCGATGAATTTTTCGCAGAGGCAAGGGGAGAAGAAGATACACAGAGGCAAGGGGAGAAGAAGATACACAGAGGCAAAGAGAGAAGAAGATACGCAGAGACAAACGGGGGAAAGAGGATATTTTAGCCCTTAACACACGGAATAAAAGAATACCTAACATCTACGTGGGAATAACATTTCCGGAAATACACACACAATATTTACTGTTGAGAAATAAATATTACCCTCACTTGGAAATTTTACCCAACTAAACATGGGTATCCTCTACCAGGAAAAGAATATGCCTACTAGGAATTCTAAATTCCTTGATCCAAACGGATCCTTATAGGCAGTGTATTGATCTTTAGAATACATATGATGGCATGACGTACATAAATACGAAGGGACAAATCTCTAGAGCATTTATGAAAATTCAGGCACACACATGGTCTATTAGCATACAATCGCGATGAAAAATAAGAACAAATATAACATGATCAATAAGAATGTTAGTTTACATAATGAGATTTTGGTTCATAGAAACGTACTTAATCAATTATTCAATAAATTATATCTTATTTTTTAAATTCTGGTTAATAGTCCAAAAGACACCCGAATGAAGCTGTTATATCAAAAATTAAGTTAATAAATTATGACTTATTTTTCTAAATTCTGATTAATAGTCCAAAAGATGCTCGAACGAAGGTGTTATTTCATAATACTAAATTAAATTTTTTATCATTTCCTATTCTTTTAAGATATATGAGAGATTAAACTCATTGAGTGGTCTCAATTGTTAAAGGAGATGTTATTCTCATTTGAAATCTTAGATTTGAGTATCTGCGTCTATATATATATATATATATATATATATATATATATATATATTATAAAACCTGTATCTTCTATTTATCATTATAATGTTGAAATTCATTTTCCTTTTGTGTCCAGCTTGGTACCATAAATATCATGTATTACCTTCTTCTAAAATATATTTCATAAGCTTTTTCTCTTCTAGTTTTTTTTCATCGGTAAGTTGTTCGTCTTTTTTTTTTATCTTTGTTTAATCGACAGCGACACTAATTTTAATATTGATTGTCGATCGTTGAGATTTTTTATTGTCTTTTTATTTTCTTATATTACATCTTTATTTTCTTTTATTTTCAATAAATCTGTCTGTATGACACGTTTTCTTCTATATTTTGGCATGTTTTTTCGATTGTTTGACCGATATTTTCACTTATTTTTTTTCTAAGGGTTGATTTGTCATCGCCACGACTGATCAAGATGACACATATATGTGATATAGTTGATCTTCCATGTTTTGGACCATCGGATTGTATTTGGATACTCATTATGCGTTCATAGATAGCTTTTCACGTCGCGTGAGTCTAATTTGCGGTTTGTCGGTGGTCTTCCATTAGATTGTTCTCCTTTTGTGGTTCGTTTGCCGATGTGATCAGATCTGTTTGTATCTATCTTTGTTCGAGCTTTCTTGGTTAGGTTTTAATTTTTCCTTGTATGATCGTTATGTAATCTTAAGTTATTAGTTTTGTTTCAATGATTATAGGAAATTGTCCTAATTATGTGTTTAATTTACGACTATAATTGTAAATTTTTATTGTAATTTAGGATATTTATTATTTTAAATAAAATTAGTGATTTTTATTAAAAAAATATTTCATAAGTATTTTTACTTTCTACTATCTTCACTTCTCTCTCTAAGCTGAATATTACTAGATTTTTTCTCTTTCTCGTTGTTCTACAGCAGTATTTGTTGAATCCCGGAGAATACGCATTCTTGCAAAATATTCTGAAGGTCAATTGTGTACACCTCGTACAACTCTTACCCTTTTAATTTTTTCCTTCAATCCCTCAATTTCTATTATAGGAACAAGGACGTATATGAGGATATTGATGAGAAGATGGTGTGCTTGAGGATTCAATTGATGAAATTTGCAACACCAGAGACCTTAATGAATGACTCAAGATTGCAGAATCGGGTGCTGTTATACAAGAGCAGTGGATAGCTCTGGAAATGCATGTTTTCCAAGAAGCTAGCAACATGGCCGATGCCTTAACGGATCAAACTGAAATCTTATGTTGCTATTGCATAACACAGTTCTACCAGATAATTTCATTTTTAGTCGTATATATACAGAAAGACCAACAGTTTATTCCTTACATTACATATATGGAATTATTGATGGCTAAATCTTAGGCTTTGCAATAGGCTGAAAGACCAGTTCTATCACCTCCAGGAGCGACCTGGGTCGAGTAAAATCTCAAAAATTCTTCAAAGTCAAAGGGTTTGAAGAGCATGGGATTTTTATTATCCACCAGTTCTTCTGGTGCCTTTACTTGGTATCCTCCTCTCGGAGAGGCAAATAACCCCACGCTGTACCTTGCCTTGTCCCCCTTCATCATGACACGATGAAAAGTAGGAGACAGTCCATCATTTAACCATATCTGCAAGGACTCTCCAACCATGACTATGAAAGAGTTGGGCGAGTGTTTAGCGTTGATCCACTCGCCATCTTTGTTTTGAATCTCCAATCCATCAACCTCGTTTTGATGCAATAGGGTCACCATACTCTTGTCGGTGTGAGCCAACGCCCCAGCGGTTGGCTCGCTGGTTTGGGGAGATTTATATTTCAAGAGCTTTAGCATGTAATTGGTGTTGTCAATGAGCTCATCTTCGTACTGCTCAACACCAAAAATCTCCAAAATCATCCTCTTAACTGTCTTCTCTAATCTTGATGCCAGCTCTGTGAACAACACCAGAGTTTTACTGCCAATTCAACACCAATGAATTAATATATTTTAAGCGGTAAAAGAAAGGGTAAGTGGAAAGAGTTATTAATATGAACCTGAAGCTTATGTTTCCTTGAGGCCACAAGGTGGTAGTCAGGCGTTGTTCGATGTTTTCGGCAACCCGTGCTTCATCAATCGTCATGCTTTCAAGCGACCCTGATGGATAATCAAAATAACCACGAAAGTGCTTGTCGGAAACGTAGAGTTTTTTTGTTTCTGAAGGCAAGTCGAAGGCCTCTTCCATGGCTGCAAATACTGCATCTCGAAGCTCCAGCAACTGGTCCAACGAAGCCTCGAAACAACCGTACTCCTTCAGTGCTTCACGGACTTGGTGTTTCACCGAATCCCATTCAGGGCTGCCCGGTTTCAGGTTTTGATTTGAGAAATCTATAACCGGAAGCTTAGCCGGCGTTCCTGAGCTCATCATTTTGTCGATGCATACAAACAAATAATGGAAGACTTAACAATACGTTTGCCTCGTTAATGTCTACGTATAATGCTTGAATTTATACTCGGATAAATGAATAGTTATCCAACTTTCAGAATATTTGTATCGACTATACAACAAATGAAAGGTTAAAAGGAATGATTAATATATATCTCGTCTCTTTATATACAGCAAATACACAACAAAAAAATACTATAACATATAAACTTTTAATTAAGCTCTGCTTCGTTTTCTTCTTAATTTGCTCCTTATTTTCAGTTTAATTCAATTATTTTATTAAAAAAAAGAGCATCTACCAAATAAATAATTTTAATTTATAGAGATTCTTTGCAATTAGAAAACAGTAATGTATAAGATCACAAATCAGAATCAAATAATTTTATTTAGATTGATGTGAATTATTTCATCCTATCATTGTCTTTTTCCTTAACTAATTATATATTTATTTTTATTAAAATAATTGTGAAAACCACAATCATGACAACTCCAATAACAGGAGTTCATCTTGGCAGATGCAATAACACCACATATTCCAAAAAGAAAAACCTACAGCAACAACCTGCCAAAACCAGGAGCAATATAATAGACAGACCACCCTTGATAATTACTATTTAATTAAGTAAAAAATATACTTGTTTTTTATAGTTATAATCTTGCGTATTTTCGAGGGTATCTATTAGTCTCGTATATTTGTAGAGACGGATGTAAAAATTTACATTAAGGGTATTAATTTAATAAGTTATATTAAAGTTTTAAAAGGTACGAAATTATAAAATTTTAGACGGTGTAAAATTAGATAATCAATAAAAATATAAAGAATATACCTATAAGTATAAAGGAATTTAAAATTTCTAATGGTATAAACACCTAACACCACTCTGTTCATCCATGTGATGTCGAAATTTCCAAATCGTTGGGATCAAATCATCAAATTTAGGTGATTATTGTGTTTAATGCTGCCGAACATTTTTGATTCATCTTCTTGTGTATTTTTAATGTTGGCTGAGTATTTGATCGAGTTGAGTAGAGTAAAAAATTTTTGAGTTGATGCGTCATATTTTATGACTCGAACTTAACTTGAAATTTTTTCGAGTCCAGTCGATACGAGTTTCTATACTAATTTTATTATAATTATTTATAGTATTATAAATTTGTTCCAATTTTTTAATTTTTCCTAACCATATATATATATATATATATATATTTCTTCATATTCTTTTCACATTATAATGTTATTTAATATATCATTCTTTTCACATTATAATGTTATTTAATATATCACATACAATTTAAAATTATAAGATATATTTATAATATTATGTTTCAAAGAATGTATTTTGAGGATAAAAGATTGATGGAAGAATAAAAGGGTCAAAGAATTGATGTGAAGAAAGAATTTGTAAATAATTGTAGCCAAAAGACTAAATTGAGTAAAATGCAAAGTTAAAGAACTAAATTTAAAAAAAAAGAGTACATTTTTAGTAAAAAAAAATAAGAATTGAAGTTACATAGGTATTTTATAGTGGTAGGGGAGCATGTGGTTTAAATTTGGTCAAAAATGTACTTAAAATTAAGGATGAATTAAAGAATGCATAAATCATGCAAATTTGAGGGACTAAATTGAAAAAAATAAAAATTTGTTATCAAAAAGTGGAATTGAAAGTACAGGTATATTCTATGATGGTTTAGGAGCATGTGGTTCAAATTTGATAATAAATTGACTTCAAATGAATTAGTAATTGAATGAATATGCAATAAGAGGCGAAATCGTAAATATGTCAAATTACTCGTACAAATTTTGGTTTTTTGAATTACTTGAAAATTTGAAATTTTAACTTGAATCAAACTCGAAAATCAAATTGATAACTTGATTTGACTTGAATAACTAGAAATTGAAAAAATATTCAATTTTTTAATCAAATCAAATTTTGCTCACCCTTACTTATAATTATAAATTAACCCCTACTTATATTTATAAATTAATTGTTAGATTTCAGTTATTAGTTGGTTAGGTTGTTATTAATCTGTTAGCTTGTTAATTAGATTAATAAATGTTAGTGGATGTATATAAAGATCTTAGCCTTGTAAACTATTATTATGATGAATAAAATAGTTGAAGAACATTTCCTGTAAAAATTCCTTTTAACATGGTATCATGAGTCAGTTAGCTTCCCGTGACTTTTTTCTTCTCGGTCAAAATTGATTTAGGGTTTTTTTCTTCTCTTTTCTCCTCATTCGCTTCCATGGAAACTTCAATCATTGATTTCAATCACCTGTTGTTCTTGCATGCCTCTGATGCACCTGGTTTTCTGCTTGTTTCGCATCAACTTCTTGGTATTGAAAATTATGGTGTATGGAGTAGATCCATGAAGATTGCTCTGCTTGCAAAGAACAAATTAGGTTTTGTCACCGGTGATATGATTGTCGGAGAGAAGATTTTGACGAATCATTACATTCACAATTGGAGAGGTGTAATGCTCTCGTTTTATCCTGGATCCTCAATATAGTAAGCAAGGAGCTCTCGGCTGGGATCGTTTTCGCGTCCAGCGCCGTTGTAGTTTGACAAGATTTGAAGGAAAGATTTGATAAGGTTGATGGATCTCAATCATTCTTCCTTCATCGTGAAATTGCACTCTTACCTCAAGGTGATTCTACAATCTCAGCCTATTTTACCAGATTAAAATTACTCTGAGACGAATATGAAGCTTTGGCTCCGATTTCTCCTTGCGATTGTGCTCTTTCACAACGCATATTTGCTCACTACACTCAACAGAAATTATTTCAATTTCTCATGGGTCTCAATGAGACGTATACTACTGTGCGAAGTCAGATCCTGCTTATGCAGCCATTGTCGTCTGTAAATCATGCGTACTCGATGCTTGTTCAGGAGGAATCGCAGAGGATTCACTCTTCTGTTCTTTTTCTGATTTCTGAAGTTTCAGTTATGTATTTTAATTATGCTGGGAACAGTGACATGAAGAAGTTCTCTGGTGTGTGTGTGATCTCTGTAAGATTCGAGGGCATAAACGTGAGAATTGCTATAGGCTAATTGGATTTCCTGCCGATTTCAAGTTCTCCAAGAAGAAATGAAGTCAGGTGGCTTTGGCTTCTACTAGATCTGCTATCGAATCTCACAATCAGACGAGTTATGAGTCACAACAAGATGTTGCATCCACTGTTCCTATGTTCACACGAGCTCAATATGATCAAATCCTTCACCTCTTGAACAAGGAACCTTATGTGGATCCAACAACAAATGTTGCAGGTACTGATTCTGCAAATACTAGTCTCTCTTTCAATTGGATATTAGATACAAGTGCTACTGACTATATGTTATCTGACTTTCAAAGGCTAATATCTCCTATTCCATGCACATCAGAATCTAGATTTGTATATTTACCTAATGGCCAAACATCTCCCATAACACATACAAGTTCTTTTTACCTTAACCAGGATCATTCCCTTCCAAATGTCATGTTTGTTCCCAAATTTTCACATAACCTCCTATCTATTTCCAAATTAACCAAAGAACTTAATTGCAGTGTTTTCTTTTACCCTAACTTTTGAATTTTACAGGATCACTCCACTAGAAGGATGAAGGGGATTGGTAGAGAGTTTTGCGGGCTATATTTTTTTTATTATACTACTTTTGGTTCTGGTATTTTTTCTGTTTCTCATTGTAATTCTTTTTTTTTTCTTGTATTCCTGCCTTTGGGTCTTCAAATTGTATGAGCCTTTCAACCATTAATAATACTGAGCTTTGGCATGCTCATTTAGTGTAACATCCCAAACTACGGGTTAGTGATTAAATTATAAAATTTCAGAATTTGGTGATTAAAATAAAATCATTGAATAGTTCAATGATCTATGTGGAGATATTTCCTGAAAGTTGTTAGTAATTATTAAAAAAATTAAAGGGCAAAATGGTTATTTGACTTAGAAAAGAATAAAATAATGATATATATAGGGATAAGGTTGAGAGATTTCTCCATAAATCTCTTCACTCTTCATTCTTCATTTTCTTCTCTTCTCCAACGTGAAGCCACAAGCCAAGGTAAGTTTGATTTATTTTGGTTAATTCTTAAAATTCAAGAGTGGGTTTTGATCCTTAGATGATAATTAAGCTTAAGGAAAGCTTAAGTTATCTTAAAATCAAAAGATAAAGGAGTTAGGGAAAATTAAAGATTTGGAGTTCTTGAGTGAAATCTTGAAATAGAGTTGATAAGTTTTTGAAGTTAAATTTGACTTGTCATCAACTTAATTAAGAGACATGAAGTGATAGAATTGAATTTAGTGTATATTGAAAATTGGGTATGATTATTGATTTTTATATGGAGAATAGGATTTTGAGGTTTGAGATGTGATAAATGAGTAGAAATTGGTTTAAGTATGTATATTTGAGTTACGAGTATGAAAGTGAATGAAACATGAAGAATTGAAGTTGGAAATATTGAATTTTTGTGTATGAACAGTGATTTCTGGGCATGTGCATCGATACACTTTGAGTATGTACCGATGCAGTAAGACAAATTTTGAAGGTGCATCGAGACATTAAGGAGTGCATCAATGCATGGGAATTTCGAAGCTATTTTTGTGTACCGATGCACCCATAGTGCATCGATACACCCCTAAAGGAAAAATGGAATTTTGGATCATTAAACTAGCTTGAGTTATTAACATCAAGTTATAAAGTTTAGGTTTCTGATAATCGTCTCGAAAATTATGTTTATGTAGATATTGAGCCTAAACAAGTTTCAGAACAACCAAAGAATTAGGATTGAATCAAAGAAAGGTAAGGTGAGTGCAATTTAATTTGTACTTATATTATTGAATAAACATTGGCTTGCGATGAGCCAGTGACGGAGTTACTATGGTAAGAATTGACTCCTAAAGTGTTATTTGAATTTTGATTGATATGATGATTATGTGTGCATGAATAGATGAGTATATGGAAATGAGTATGTGTAATAAGTGATACTGAATTACATGAATAAAGGAAAATATGACATAAGTTATT